CCTTTTAGTTTTTTTAGCCAAGTTTGTGAAATACTTGGTTAAAAAAGTGTTGTCATGCTTGCTTAGAGTCTGAGCGTGTATTTCCAGTTAATATATCCTATGTCAGTGTGATGCTCTAACCAAGGCACCCAGAACACACTCTGCCTCAGCGCGGGAGAGCTGTGCTGGAGGTTAGACTGTGTCAGGTCCCTGCCAAACCAGCAATCTCCAGTTCCAGAGTTCCCCAGAGACTTCTCTGTGCAGCATCCACTCCCTCTCACTGGACACTTTCTGAAATTAAGTTTGCTGCCTGCGAAGAGGCAGTATACGCACTAGCCTGGCTCCCTGGGGCTACACACTCTACATTAAAACACAGCACTGAGATGATTTATAGTAAAACCAAGAGGATGTTTATGAATAAAGAACATAGATTTAAGTGATACTAAGCAGAGATAACAGAAAATCATTAAAAGCAAAACAAAACATGCTTTCTAAAACTTAATTCTAGCAAGTTGTCTTTGCCTAAAATAGCTTCTCACTTACATCAAGCTACCGGCATCTCCAGCCCTCTAGGAGGAGAGAGGATCCAATGTTCAGACTCAAAGGTTGCTGTTCCCTTTGTCCCCTACATGATGGGTAACCAGAATGTCTTTTTGCTCCCCTTATATTTCCCAGAGACTGTTGTCTTTGCCTCAGGAGCCAAGACAACCCCCTGGGGGTTCATACTGCCCGGCGAGCTTACCAAGCTGTTCCCTCCACTGCTTGATTGCTTGGCTTACCTCATATGTAAATGTACTTTCATTGTGTATAGCTTACAAAGCTTGCCCCAGATCAGTAAATTCACAGTCCTTTGTCTAAGGCAGGCTTCTCTAGCCTCTGCCTCCCAAAAATATTTTAAGAACATATTTCCAGCACACAACTCTTTATACACATCCCGTACTGCATCACTCGGTGATGTTCATGACCAGTGTCTCACCAGTTTTTGTACTATCTTACTCAGTGCACTTTTATAGTACAATAATATTGTATACATTCAGTTGCTTATTCTTTGGGGTTCAGATCACCTGTTCGCTGTCCTAGGGTGTCTGGACCCTGGGGTGTATGTGACAATCAGCATAGATCTGTTTTCCAACATGGCATGGACCAAATTCTGTTAAAAGCTGATCATTTCTCTCACTAATGTGTTTCAGAATTGGGGTTTTATGTTCACTTTAAATTCTGTTTCTTAAAATGAGTAACAAAGCTGTCAACTAATATATATATTTTTTTAAAATGTAAAAGTTATGTATTAGCACACTTTTAGCAGCCAATGCTCCTCCTCTTCCCCCCCCCCCACATTGGATCTAATTTTTCTGTTAAAATCCTTGATAAAAGGAAGAAGTTAAAATTCTGTAACTAAGAGGAATAGTTCTTTAGTTTGTGCAATAATAATATATTCCCAGATATAAATAAATATCCCTCCCCAAACCCCTACAATGTACTTTAACTTCTAGGTTGACAAAAATGAGATTTTTCTTTTATTGGACATTTCAGTACTATTTGACCACGAAACCTAAAAGGCTAAAACTGTTGTCTTGATGGAATAAAAGAGAAAGTTGTAGAGGTGTCCTGCAACAGGCAGAGAAACTAATTAAATGTGGTTCTACTCAGCAAAGTGACTGGGGAAAATGGCACCATAATCAGTAGATGGTAACTCTGTGTGCATTGAGTTCCTTGTGATCACTTTAGTGATGCTATGTTTTTGCTGCTCCAAACTACCGATAGGCGTGTCAAAACAACACAGCTATGGGAGAGTGAGTTGGTTTTTGTTTTGTCTCACACAACACCCACAGAACAGCTAACAAACTGCAGAGCCAATTCTGCCCCCGATACACCTTGATTCTGCTCCCAGAAAACAGGGCTGCACAGGTGTATCAGGAAACAAAATTGGGCCTGTGCTATCTTTTACTAGTATCTAATGGCTGAGCCAGAAAGATCCCAACTTGATTTTGAGATTCCATTTCAATTTGCGGGACTCATCAGTAAGTAAAATGTTTGTTTTTCCTTGTAAGCAAAGTACATTTGGATTGGGAATCTTTAAAATACTAAAAATTATAATCCCATGATGCTGTTTTCACAGCATCCCTGTGTCAGATTTGAACCATATTTTTAGAATTTAGGAGGAGAGTGCTCTTTGAGCATTTGAAGATTTTTCTTCATTGCTTACACATTTGGGCGGTTCAGAATAATAGGAATTTTTTTATATTATATTTTGAGTTTTAAAACAGGCTGCTGCCAACCATGTTTTTGGGAAACCAGTTTCTTTTAAAACAGTGCCATTGTCATATGGTGTAATGCATGATTTACAGGATGGGAGAACCTCTGATTGTCGCTCACAACTAGGGTACCTCTCTCCCAAACTGGCAGCTGCACTTCCGAGAGGGTAGAGCTCTGCAGGCATGGGATATCTAGGCAGGTGGCTCAGGTCCTTCTGGTGTCTTGGAAGCCATCTGTCAGAAGGCCCTGAAATTTCAAATGAAGGAAGTTTGTGGTGCATTCAGGCCCCAGTCAACTCCTGTTTTTTATTCTTCCCCTTCCACGCACGTGGAGAGACTGCTTGCCTGCCTCCTGATGTAAAGGCCAGCTCCATCCACGTACATTTGGCAGCTATTTTAGCCTGTCATGAACTGATTCAAAGGAGACCAGTGCGCGGTGATATGGGAGGTGAGGCTCTCAAAATAAGCCAATTAGAGGCTTAGAAGATCCTTGTTGTCAGGTTGAGGCAGTGTTTGACATTTGAAACCTCATGTTAAACAGCCCCCAGTGTTAGGGGAGAATGAGGTCACCCTGACAAAGCTGATGAAAGTTTCTTTCGAGCCATTCAGTTCCTGTGAGCTTAATTATCTTGCATGGAAGGTTGCTTTCTTGCTGGGAGTCCTTTCAGCTCACAGCAGGAGTGAGCTTCAGGTTGTCGTGACCGATCCAGTTTACACCAGGTTTAAGGTGGTGGTGTGGAATCATTGAACAGTCCTCCCCACAGTGGTCTGAGAGTTCCACTCCATTGAGTTTGTCCTCCTGCCAATGTTTGTCATGCCTTCTGTTCCCCTCCCCATGAGGCCCTTCGCCATGTGCTCAGTGTCAAAAGGTCTGTGGGGCTCAGAGTTTCATTTGGGGCAGACTAAAGCCCTTGGGAAGTCCACTCAACTTCTTGCTGTTTTTCACACCAATCCGTGTGGGCAGTGCTGTTATAGTGTCTGACTTCTTGTTATAGCTTGGCCGGCCAGAAGCTAGAAGACTATAAGAACGTAAAAATGGCCATACTGGGTCAGATCAATGGCCTGTGTAGCTTAATAGCCGGTTTTCTGACCGTGTTCAGTGCCAGATGTTTCAAAGGGAACGAACAGAACATGCCAGTTATCCAGTGAGCCATCCCCTGTCGTCCAGTCCCAGCTTCTACCAATCAGAAGTTTAAGGAGCCTCAGAACATAGGGTTGATCCCTGATCATCTTGGCTAATGGCCATTGATGGACCTATCCTCCATGAACTTACCTGATTCTTTGTTGAACCCAGTTATACTTTTGGCCTTCACAATATCCCCTGGCAGTGAATTCCACAGGTTAACTGCATTTCTTTAAGAAGTGCTTCTTTGTTTGTTTTAAACCCTGCTGCTTGTTTCATTGGGTGACCCCTGGTTCTTGTGGGAAGGGTTAAATATGCTTCCTTATTCACATTCTCTAAACCATTCATGATTTGATAGACTTTTATCATTTTCCCCCCTTAGTCGTCTCTTTTCCAAACTCATCAGTCCCAGCCTTTTTACTCTCTCCTGGGATGGTAGCTGTTCTTTAACCCTAATCATTTTTACTGACCTTCTCTGTACTTTTCTCATTTCTAATGTATCTTTTTTGAGATGGGGTGACCAGAAGTGCATGCAGTATTCGAGGGGTGCGGGTACCATGGATTTATACCAGTGATAGTCAGACCTCAGTGGTTCAGAAGCCAAATTTGTGATCAGCATTATCCAAAAGACCCACAGCAATGTGAATTCATTGTTTTATTTACTATAGTACTCTATAGTCCTATTTAAACAGTATGAGGGGAAATATTTAGTGTGTGTGTTTTTTTTTCTCACAGCAAAATGACTGACAAAGTATTTTATCAACTACAATTGGTTAATAACATAGAAAAAGCCTCCTGATTAGTTAATAACTTAGATGGGTTAATAATTAAATCACACAGTGTTTTAATATTGTGCTGCAAAGAGCCACAGGGGAGACATTAAAGAGCATCTTGTGGCTTGCGAGCCTCAGTCTCAGTATCACTATATATACAGTGGTATTATGATCTCTTCCGTCTTAGTCCCTATCCCTTTCCTAATGATTCCTCACGTTCTGTTAGCGTCTTTGACTGCCGCTGCACACTGAGCAGATGTTTTCACAGAACTATCCATAATGACTCCAAGATCTTTCTTGAGTGGTAACAGCTAATAAAGACCCCAATCATTTGTATGCATAGTTGGAATTATGCATTACTCTGCCTTTATCAACATTGAATTTCATCTGCCATTTTGTTGCCCAGTCACCCAGTTTTGTGAGATCCCTTTGTAACTCTTATTTTGTGAGCTTTACCTTCTGTTCAATGAAAGGAACTGGCTGAAATGTTTAGAGGGCAGTAGTTTTACTTTTGTGGGTGGCATGCAAAGGTTAGTATGAGTCTTACCACTGCCCTCAGATCAAAATTATAAGAGCTACGGCAGATCCACCTGTGTTACATTAGAAAGCTAATACCAAAGAGTGAGAACTCTGATTGCCTGGTATCTTCAGAGAAGCAGAATTGCAGGTAAATAATTTTCTCTTGCTGTCTTATGCAGCTTCCAGTGATTGTATTCTTAGGTGTTTTATTGTTAAACTGCATTCACAAAAATTTAGTCCACAAACTTTTGACAGAATAAGTTTAATAGATTTTTTTTTCCTATTGTACTTTAATTTCAACAGGTGACTTTTGGAAATGTCAAAGTATTCTTTATTTTTGTTCTAATGCAGCTTCCAGGTGGGAGTCACCCTCAGTACGTGAAGACATGCAGCCGGAAATATGGATTGCACAGGAACTGCGGCGTATTGGAGATGAGTTTAATGCTTCCTATTGCCCAAGAAGGGTAACTTTATTTTATTTTATTTTTTTAATTTTCTGTTTCCTTACATGCAAACTTTGAAAGGGAAAGGTTTATAATAATTTCTGGAAATATGTCTTGTTGCAAATGTTTCATGTTCCCAAATGTACAGAGATGTGCATAACATAAACGTTGGTGTATATGTGGGTAATACTTACCTTACGGAAGCACTAGTCATGACTCCATAGTGAAGGTTATTTTGAATTTTTCACTTAAAACTGGGATTCAGCCTCTTCTCTGTGGTATATACAGTGTATCCATCTTCCCCTAATTTAAAGTACCCAGAGCCATCAAAATGCTTTCGAACACGTTTAAGTGCTTTGCTGGATCAAGACCATAATCTGCGAGTAAAAATGTTGAGGGGGAGGGGGACGTTTAGTTTTTTCAGGTAGACCTGCAAATTTAATTTGAGTTAAAACGCATTAAAACTGGGCCATTTAAGAAACTTGCTCTGGTGACGCTTGCTTTTCTTTTACTTATTTATCTAAAACACCACTGCTCCCACAACCCCCAAACTACGCACATACCCACAGGCTGAGACTCTCTGACAGAGGCTGCTTTTTATATTTTTAAAATAATGCAACAATTTTTGTTTGTGTTGTGATGTTGATGGACAGATATTTTAGATGCTGAATGGATGATCCAGCACCATTTAAAGATATGTCTCGTTACTTCTCCTGCATGGTCCCCCCCCACCCTCCCTCCAGCCAGTTGCCTCCAAGGTCGCCCCAAACGCTGCTCCTCATTCCCCAGGCACATTCTTGCTGCTCCTCTGCTGTTTATGAGGGGTGGGCAGCCATATGTGGGATGCCTGTGGGGCAGACAGCTAGGGTGTGGGGACATGGGCGGTGAGTGGAGATGTAGGAACTGGGATGGACTAGATCTGGGTCAGTCGGTTACCTCAGTGCTGAGGTGGCAGTCCTTGGACTTTTGCCACTGCTCCCTTTGCACTCCAGCACAGCCCCGCTCTAACCTAGGCACCCTCTACAGACATGTGCTTCCCTGCACACAACTGTGCTCCTCTCCTGCAGTGTGTTCGAAACTTTTCTAATCTTATTTTTCAGTCTTAAAATATACTGGTACCATTTTTAAAATAGCACAAACAATTGTAATGCTGTAAAGTTCTGTCTTTATGACTGAGGCAAAGTGGATAGAATTGAAATTACAAATCAATCCTAAAACTAAGCTAACAATTGGTTTTTAGAAGGAATTAAGTCAGTGATCGACTTGGCTTTACAATATTAATTATACACTGCTTGCATGTTTATATGTGCAATTTCTAGCCATTAACTTGTCCTTTCACTCTTTTGAGAGGAGAACTACACTAAGCACAAGTGTCACTAGATCATAGTCATGAAGTTTAAGGCCAGCAGGGACCACCAGATCATTAATCTGACCTGTATATCACAAGTCACTAACACCGCCCAGTTACCCCCATGCTAAACCCAACAGACATAATTAGACCAAAGTGTTACAGCCCTCAGCAGACTAACCTGCTGTGTGCCACAGGCCGAGACCCGCGGAGACAGGTGCACCGGTACCCAAGGTCCCTATCGATTAAGTGAGAGATGAGATGTTAACTGCTTGGATTTTTAACTGACTTCCATGAATGGTAAGTCAGTGACACAAGATTATTCCTTTTTTTTTTTTTTAAGAGAATCCATACTTTTATTTTGGGGGCTTTCAACTGTCTCAATCTCAGTGCAACCTGTTCTTCTCCCAGACTACTTCTTGACCCCCGGGCCCTGTTCACTGTTCTACTCTTCTGTGTCATCTAGTTCACTGTACTCCCTCATTTCTCTCCCAATGTTGCTAGTACTTGGTGTGAGGTACTGAGTTAAGCAGCATATACCACAGCTGCATTAACATAGTCTGAAGAAAAATCTTTTCCGAAGTACACCTCTACCCTGATATAACGCTGTCCTTGGGAGCCAAAAAACCTTACTGCGTTATAGGTGAAACCGCGTTATATCGAACTTGCTTTGATCCACCAGAGCGCGCAACAGTCCCCCCCGCCCCCCCCCCCCCGGAGCACTGCTTTACCGCGTTATATCCGAATTCGTGTTATATCGGGGTAGAGGTGTACTTTAATTTGTTTTGTTTTTTTAGTTTTGTTAATGGAACAAGCTGATGGAAAAAACTTGCTTGCTTGTTACCTGGATTATCCTATCCCTGTTGAGGGAGGGAGATTCCCTTTCCCCAAGTCAATTTTACATGCTATAGCAGCATAGAAGAGCTAATGGAGTCCTAGATCCACCCACTGGAGAATTCTGCCTGACACAACGGATGTTACATGTGATATTCTGTGATGTGTTGTCTGGTTCTCTCATTTTTCTTTTTCTTTGAGGTTTATGCGCTGGTGGAATGTGTTTTGAAGTCATTACTGTTGACTTCTTTTCACTATAGGTTTTCTACATCTCATTGGATATAGTGCTACATTATATAATCTCTCCTTTGATTATGGTTAGAATCAGATCTTGAACAACAACATTCACAGGATGCATTCATGCTATATTGTTTGTCATCCTATCTTCTGGCCTTTTTTTGCTAACCAGGAGATATATTACAGCTATATGCATTTATTTAAGCAATTGTATAGTTTAACATATATTTATTGAGGTTAATTTTTACATTTATGTTCAAAAATTTACTAGATTTTTATGCATAATTTGTGTTAAATTGCAGTTGGATGGAAATTGGAATTAAATTAAAACTGCGGAGAACCCTGCATTCTGAAATTGCTGAAGTAGTTACAACTAATAAAAATGTGCTGCATATGTAAGGTGGGGAGTAAGTTAATCAAAACATAGTTTAATCAGCTAGTTTCAAATGCAAAACAAGTATTATCTGTGGTGAGTGAATGGAACTGATAGTTTCTGGTTACTGTGTCCTTCGAGGTTTCAGAACTAGTAAATCTTATCCTCTCGCACCTTGGTTTTTATTCAGAGATTTGAAGAGGAAAATAAGCTTTCCTGCTTTTTCAACTCCCAGTTGGTTTCTCAACTTTGAACTAGTCATTGAACTGAACTGGGAGAGTAGAATGAAATGATGAAAATAGTCTCTGACAAAAGTTGATTCAGCACTTTAAACGAACTCTGCTTAGCCAGTGATTTCTACCAGTTCACTTTATTTAAAAAAAAAAAAAATTGGTGGCAAATATGTAGTGCTTGAATGTTGTTCCAATTTATTGTTAATTATTTTAAAAGATATAGGTTGTCATAATTGCAAATTTAATTTGAAATAGGTTTTCAAACAAAGAAAAAATATACTAAAATTTTGATTTTAAAAAATGGGTTTTTTATTTAAATTTTTTTTATCCACCCTGGTTGAATCTCTTTTGTGTAATAAGTTGAATATGGTAACAGTTTGACAAGTCACCTGACACCAAAGATAAAACACTTATTAATCCATAGGGCTTCTAGAGGGTAATGGATAGTGTTATTGCTCTGTGTAAAGATAGTATAATTATCCTGTGGTATTTCAACTAGACCCATTCTCAATCATGTGTTAACTGCATTTTGAGGAAACAGTAGGACATTGTTTGGGTTATTGGAAAAGTTTTTCTCCTAGAGGGGCTTGTGTTCAAATGTGTGTGAAGTCATAAGATTTTAATAGACTTGAGCACATTTTAATACCCATTGGCAGTCTGTTTAAGAGAAAATCAGAATTGAAATAAAAAGGTTGTGGCAGGTACTGAACATTTATATAATTAATTTATATAATGTTCATTTTCAATCCCATTTTTTATACATCCTAACAATCGGTTTGCTCTTTTGACTGTTGCTGTACCATGGTACAACGTGTCTTTTCTTAAGCTGACCACGGTAGTGCTCTGGCCTCTTTCCTGAATGGTTAGTTTAAATTGGTTAGTTAAATTCTAAATAAACAGTTAGTACTTGTAGTTCAAATTATTCCTTCTGTTTGTTAACGCTGAAATTAACCTGCTGCTGTTTTCCTCATTCACCTGCAAGTGACAACTGAGATGGCTGTGATAACTCTGTTTTTAGAGATTGAGATGTTTGGTCATTGTATCACAAATTTTAAGATGTGCTTTTATCCAAGGTTTGAAAAAATTACCAATTCTGAGGTAAAAGGAGTGAAAAATCGACAAAGCATTCCCTCCCCAAATCTATGAAATGGCAGTATTCAAGATGTGAGTGTACCATGGATTTATAGAAAGGCAATATAATATTTTCTGTCTTATCTATCCCTTTCTTAAGGACTCCCAACATTCTGTTTGCTTTTTTGACTGCCACTGCAGATTGAGTGGATGTTTTCAGAGAACTATCCACGATGACTCCAACATCTCTTTCTTGAGTGGTAACTGCTAACTTAGACGCCATCATTTTATATGTATAGTTGGGATTATGTTTTCCAATGTGCATTACTTTGCATTTATCAACATTGAATTTCATCAGCCATTTTGTTGCCCAGTCACCCAGTTTTGAGAAGTCCTTTTGTAACTCTTTGCAGTCTGCCTGGGACTTAACTATCTTGACTAGTTTTGTATCTGCAAATTTTGCCATCTCACTGTTTACCCCTTTTTCCAGATCGTCTATGAATATGTTGAATAGGACTGGTCCCAGTACAGACCCCTGGGGAACACCACTATTTACCTCTCTCCATTCTTAAAACTGCCCATTTATTCCAAGAGCAAGTAGTAAATTTCCTGCCTTTTCTTTTCTTTTATGTGGGAGCCTTTACTACAGAGGATAAAATAGGTGTTACCAGTCATCTGCAGGGTACTCTGTGGCGTTCTCTTTCTTCCCCGTTGATTAGTAGATTTGTACCTTCTCCTTCCATCAGGATGAAAGGACAGCCATGACCAGGGCTTTCTGCAGCACTTCCTGGAGATCCAAACAATCCAACTCATTCCAAAATACCAGCAACATTTTTAGGAATTTACTCCTTTCTATTGTATACAGGCTCTCCGTGGTCAGTAGGGGCACAATTAGTGTTAGATCGCAAGCGGCTCAATTCTTCTGTCATCTGCGTTCACTCAAAACAGAAAGCACTTGGTCCATCACAGCCGCTGTTTGACCTTAGGAGACTTCCTCGGTGCTCATCAAGGATTCCTGCAATTTGCAACAGATCCTCGGCATCTTCAGTGTTCCATTTTTCTCTTTGGCCTAACACTAGCACTGAGAGGTTGTTCAGAGATCATGATGGTGGTGCCTGCAGCTATCCATTACATCATCTCCCCGTTCTTTACCTGGATAATTGGCAGCTTGGGGCTTTTAATGAGTGAGTTAGCTTTGTTAGCAGTTCTAGCAGTAGTGTTTCCTCTGTCTCAACAAGACAGACTTGATAAACCAAAACAAAAGCGGGCTCATCTGGGGGCTCCTTTGGATATCGTCATCAGGCTCAGGGAGATGCAGATCCAGTTAATGGAAGTCATGACCTGGCTCTCAGAACTGTTGCCATAGGCGAGGAGGTTCTCCTGTGAACTTCCCTAACCCAGTTCTCCTCCACTCAGCAGAGCTTCATGTGTCTGTTCTTCTCAGAAGTCCTTTTGGTGGTGGCAGCTCTCCAGGGAATTTATTGAAAGATATGCCCTTGCAAGAGTCACATCATCACCACCGACGTCAGTCTCAAGCTTTCTCCTATCCAGAAATGCCCAGGAAATGTGGCCCAGACAGGACCACATCAAGGTCCTTGACTTCTGAGCAGCGAGCCTAGCCCTGTTCCAGTTCAAGGACATGGTATCTGACTGACTCTGCCGTGGTAACCTCTGATCTGTAACTAAAGGGGAGAACTTCAGCCAGAGAGAAGAGGGTTCTCTTAGAAGGGCTGTAGAAGGATGTCAGAACTTAGCAGCCATGCAGCTAGCAGGCTGTACAGGTAGACTGGCGAGTCGCTAAGGCATTCGTTATAGTGCGCAGTCCCTGAACAGGACAGCCATCCTCTCACATTGCTCAGTCTGGGGGAGGATTGAAGTGCATCTCCTTTGCCTGTCAACAGAGTCCCAAGCCGAAAAGTCTCAGCAGGCAGAGAAGGCATGTTTCAGCAATCTGTGATCCTAGGGCTCGTTGCAGGATTCTGCCCCTTAGGGTATCTCTACACTGCAGTTAAACACTTGTAGCTGGCCTTTCTCAGCTAACTCGGGCTTGGGCTGCCGGACTGTCTACACTGCAGTTTTATAGCCCAATCCCAGTCAGCTGACACGGGCCAGCCACGGGTAGAGACCCTTAGTGACCAGAATTTCAGGTTAGCAGAACTGATTTAGTAAAGTCTGCATAGGTTGTCCCTCCTTGGCATCTCAATGCTGTATTTTTCACTAGGACCCTCTGGCCTCTGCATTTTTGTTTTGGTTCTCAGCACAAGTGGTTTTTCTAGGGGCTGTTACCTGTGCGTGGAGAGCAGGTGAGCTGGCAGCCCTCTCCTGCCACTACCTTTCTGGTTTCCACAGCGATAAAGTATCTGATGGGTTCTCAGTTTTTGATTCCCCATTATTAATCAGTCTCCTTTCCTTTAGTCCTTAGCTGGCATCAGATAAGGAAAGGGTTTGATGTTCCCCTAGTGATTTAAGCTACAGCTACATAGAATCAAGGATTTTGGGGTCACAGAAAAAGGCAGTTTGTCACCATCCTAGATGGATTTCCATATGTATTAAGGAATCATGTGCAGAGGAGTCTCCCATGCCTCGTAGGCATTAGAGCTCACTCCTTGTATCGAGAACACCACGTGAGCACAGAGTAAATCTGCCTCATAGAGAATGATCTTTTGGTAATGCATACAAATCTTCATACGCCATTCTTGTGTGGATGTCAGAACTTCCTCACATCCAACTTTCAAGCACAGGGTCTTGAGTGCTGTCGTGCAGGGATCCTCTGTCTGCCTCCAGTTAGCTTGGTCTTGGCATTGGGTATTGCTAGATGGTGTCTAGTTTTTAGAGTGCTAGAGGCTTCCAGTCATAAAGGACAATCTGATTTCTGCATTGTTCTCATTTTAGATTGTGATTAGGAGATTGCTCCCTGCAAGGGAAGTTGACTGTTTAGCAAAGGTGGGTTGCTAACTGAAGAGACACAGATATCTGCTATAGCAATGGAGGAGGAGCAACCTAGAAGCCAAAGTGGAGTAGCCCTTTCTAGAAGGAAAATGTATAGGCAAGGCCAAAATTCCCATTTCAACAACCCTCACCACTGAACAGGAGTTTTTAGAGCATAGAAGAGACTAGAGTCTAGTTATATTCACTCTGCAGCTGTTGATTCTCATGCACTTTTTTGTGTTCAAGGCCTAGATACTACTTTTAAAACTTCGGTTTTGTTTTCCTCCTTGTCAGTTCCTTACAGTTGCCAACTTTAATGCTTTATACAAGTTAAAGGAAATTTAAGCTACTAGTTGTAAACTTTTGTGTGATGTGTGGGTGTATGCAGTGTTGTATTCATGCTGGTCCTCAGATTTTAGAGACAAGGTGGGTGAGGTAATTGAACCAGCTTTTGTTGATGAAAGAGACAAGCTTGCAAACTACACCGAGCTCTTCAGGTTTGTGTGAGTGTAGTCGCTAGTAATTTTTCTTGGTCCATTTTAAAATGGAGATGAGTAAAATTGGTTCATGTTTTCATTTCTATAACTCTTTATTTAAAGTGTGGTCTGTATGAGCCTTGGAGATGGCGTGTGGTGCACTCTGCATAAACTTTAGTGCTGTGTCTCATCAAATTGGGGGCTTTCAGAGCACATGAATAATGTTTGCTCATAGTTCCCTAAACTTATTGGCACTGACATCAGTGGACTATCTCCTCCTAAATATTGCCACAGTTGTTGTTTTGCATGTTGCAGCCTTTTTTGTTACTGTGGGAAGAAATGTAATTGTTTTTCAGTGGTTGAGTCATTAAGCCCTTTGTTTTCTTTAAGGAGGAGTATCTGGGAAATTACAACTTAAACACGAGGTTTGTGCATAAAGTGCTCAACTCAGTCTCCATTGCCAGTTGAAAGCCAGCATAGAATGTTTTATAGTTTTAAAAGTTTTATATATGTTCTAATACCATAGCAAATGGGTCTGAAATTGACAATAACCATTGAGCGGGGCTGATTGCAATATTGACTCTCAAATAAAACAAAACCTGTGTGCTTTTTTTGTTGCTGGGGGGGGGGCGGGGGGATGACCAAACTCCACCACCAGACATGGCAATATCACAGATTTCGACTGCAGTTTAATTTGTCATTGAATTGTTTTGGAGGGCTGATCGAATGTTTTTATTTTGTATAAAATTGAGGGATATTAAACATTCGTAATGATGCAAAAAGTATGAAGTTATGTAGAGAGGTTAGAAAGGGAACCGAGTGAACCATCAGTGCAAAAATAGCACTCAGAGAAGTGTAAATGGTCAGACAGGTGAGTACAGCGATGCACAGTGGCTCAGCACTTCATACCTTGCATTTTCTGTTAGGCAAAATGCTGTTCACATGGACTGTACGTGTATAGTCCCTTTTGTCCGCTGACTGCGATTGCTTCTCCACTCTGCAGCATACTGACAGATGGCAAAGTGCAGGACCCCTCCCCACCCCCAGCCTGTTGGGTGATGGATGGTGGGTGAGACCACTGTCTTGCTTTGCTTGGTTGGGGAAGGGCAGTAAAAGTGAATGTGCCCCCTTCTGTGAGGAGAGAGTTGGCGGGAGGAAGAGAAGCGAGGCATTCCCCTTCTAAGTAGATAGGCATGTCGGGGAGAGTTATCCCCGGCTGGAGCTTCAAATGTACCGTGTAATCCATTTATTTTCTCCTTACCCTCTGTCCATAGCTTCATTTCAAGCTATGCTTTTATACTTCATAGCTGGCGGGGTGGGGGGACCACCAGAGAACCGCTAGCCAAAATCATATGGAAGACTGAACCCTGCTGGGAAACCATGAACTTCTCTGGGTGGGGTCAAGTGGGATGTGTTTGGTATTTTGCTCCTAGCTAATAGGTTTAGTCCTCTGGTGAATGTTCAGAGTCCTAGTCCATGTTTCGTTGAGTTTGATGTGCTACAGTGAAAGGCAAGCAGTTTGTGTTCTCATTGGAACTTGCTCTCCCCAAACCTCATCCCCCCCACCCCTATCAGAGAACAGTCTGGATGTGCTGACCTTCAGGGCATGTCTACACTCGCCATTTAAAGTGCAAAAAGTCCCTTTCTTGCGCAAAAACCGTGGGAGCGTCTACACTTGGCCAATGCCTTTTTGCAGTGAAATTCAGAAGTTTCACCGCAAGCAGAAAACCACCTCCACAAGAGCCATACAGCTCTTAACGCTGATCCTTTCGTGGTGATGTGCAAGTGAAGACACATTCTTCCTGTTTACAGAGCTTTTAGCCTCCGCAAGATATCCCACAGTGCCTAGGTGACCA